TTGTGAACGTTTCCCAGGCAACAAATGGGGGCATTCGGTTAAGTGAGTTCAAGATGTATACTTAAGAAGCGTAGACAGCACGCTATAGTGCGTGACAGTTTGTAGTTCACCATCGTCCTTTTCAGGATGTTCCGCCTAGCATATATAGCAAAAGAATAGAGTTGCATGATAACTGCGACTCAGTGGCATGCTTGTAAGTATCCCGTCGACCATTAGTTCTTTGTTACTGAGCACAAGATCCAGGATCGACGGCTTATTAGCAGTTCGAAATCCGGTCGGAGAGGTTACGTGGTCCTACAGAGGGTGGATAACAAGTAGCTCTTGTAAGCAGGATATACCTGCTCACCATCGGTTGTTAACGTTTCCTTTTCATGCACATTGAAGTCTACAGCAATATGAATGTGGGTGTAGGACTTGTTCAAAGCGGACTGTAGGACGTGGTTCCGTTTGGAGTCCATTTCCGACAATTAGTTTGATGGGCGGTAAATTACGGCTAGTAGACCTGTGTCCTTGTTCCGTAACCTTAGGCGGCACCAAAGCGAAACAGTAGCGCGGATTTCCAGATGGTCGATAACTTCACATCGGATGTTTGTAATATAATAACGAATCATATCACCACCCCTTCCGGTTCCATCGTCCTAAATTAGCGATGTACCGGGTAAATTGATCTCCGAATCGGTTATCTCAGGGTTTAACCAGTTCTGTAATCATGACGATGTCCCCTGGTTGTGAGGCATGCAGTTCTCTAAGATCAGCCAACTTACTTAGAAGGCCTTGGGCGTTTGTGTACGTACAGGATAGTCTTATCGTTGTCAAGAGTGCGTTGGCAAACGACAAATTTGTGTTTGTTTCTAAGTCAACCGTTAGGTGGCCGGACTTTAATCGGATTTTGGTTTCTGAATTTCAGTCAAGTTGCATGGGCATTGTTGAACGTTCCTGAACAGAAGTTTTGCTCATGCTGCGCTTTGTCCTGTTGTGCCCCGTGGGTGCTGTTGTGTTGGTCTCTCCGCAGCACTGTGCAGACAAAGAGTTTACGGCATTTGCAAATTATATCGAGTTGCTTACAACTTGTGGTCTTGCACCTACTGCCTTTAGCTGGATATCCGTCCTCAACATGGCTCGAAGCTTTGGCCACTTATCCAATATACGTAACGTCATTCCATCGGAGTGTAATACTACTTTCATAAATCTTGAACCCCAGCCCTTGTAATAAGCTGACGAAGGAACTGTTGTCAAAGATTTGACAGTAATATTGTCAAGTGAGATTGCTTCGCGGATGTAGCACCACTGCTCTCGATCATAAGTTTGCGCATCACAATCAGGAGAATCCCGAAGCCCGGGAACACTATATACAAACATGTTTTTATGCAATCGCATTTGGAATGTCGCGTTGATCACCTGCTTCCTTTGGGTGATGTTTCCAATGGAGATCGGGTAATATGCGCACTCCGCTCGTTGAGTCGCGAAGACGAACTGCTGAGAGTAGGACGGCTTCTGTCTCATCCGCTGAGTTTAGTGTTATTCGAAGATTTCGAGGTTCGCCGGAGTGCACTGGAGTCAGGTGACGCGGTACGCATCTCAGCATAGTAACTCAACCCGAATACAATCGGATCGCAGAAGGAACCCCACTGGTTGGGATCGTCTAGCAAGTTGCCTTTTATTGTGCCAGATTTGGACTCGGGAACATTGATGCACACGAGAGTTAAGGCGGCGTAGTTTTGTCTAGTGAGTGTCAGCTTTAAGACCGTTGCTGTTAACTTGGGCTGTTTAGAAGGCAGTGAATGGCATCGCTGCACGTGTGCTCGGTGCAGTAGGTGGACTTGTGTGTGTTGCTCCCAGTGTGTTTATCGAGTCAATCCATGCGTAAGTTACCTGCTTGTTATTTGCCATGGATTGCCTCCGATCTGAGCTGTCGGTGACATAACAGATTCTCCAGTAGGTTGGAGAATAGAGTCAAGTAAGAAAATGTAAGTGGCGGAGTGCGTCATGCAACCGACTTGTGAATATGTCTAGCATGGGTGAAGAAACAACCGATTCGGGGAGATCTTTCCATGGTTGGCAAGCACGAATGGAAAAGAAATTCCTACGGTACGCCAAACGGCTGTACCGTTCTGCTAATTTCAAGGTGTGGCCTCTAAGTTTGGTGTTAGAGTTGAGTTGCACCAACGAGCGGCACACATGATGTGGATTGTGTAAAATCAAGTACGCCATAATCAAGTCGCCTCGCAGTCGGCGATAGCGCTCGTTGTCTACCTCCAAACGTTTAAGTCTCTGCTCTTATGGAAGGTGGCGCATTCCAAGCACGTATTTAGAAGCCCGACCTTGAGGTTGGTCTAGTGCAATAAGGTCGTGCTTCAGCCTTGGCTGCCAGGCTTGGATTGCGTATTCGATATGGGGGCGAACATACGCATTCAGCATCTGTCTGCAATTAGAGGCGTCTGCTTGTCCGAACGTAGCAAGCCGACGTGCTGGTTACCAGCTTTCGATACTTTTGCTAATTGCTTGAAACAACCCAAGTTATTCTGAACAAACACGTCAAGGTGGCCTTCGGTAGATCATCGTTGCAGTACTTCCGTCCCTAGCTTGTAGGAAAAGGTACTCTGGGGTCGGATGGAGAGTACCTCGCATTTGTCCACGTTGAGCTGTTACCAGTTTTAGGTTGACCAATCGTGTACTGTAGCCAGATCAGACTGAATTACATTCCGATCGGTATCCGCCTGAATCAGACGCCATATCTTGATATTGTCAGCGAACGTCAGGAAACTTGAGGCAATTTTCTTTGCAAAGACACTGATGTATACCAAAAACAATCGTGAACCTAGAACTGAACCCTGAGGCCCACTAGTCGTGCGTTGTATGAGTTCAAATAAAGTACCCCGGATGCTGACCACTAAATGTCGTTGCGGGAGAATATTGGCGATCCAGCTCAAGAGTGAGTCACCGATCTCGTAATGTTGGGCCTTGGAAAGGAGAAGCTGATGATCTAAACGATCAGATGCCTTCGATAAATTCAAGTAGATCACATCAAAGGTCACTTCAGCGTCACACAAGTCGGTCCAGATACTCCGTGCGCTTAATAGAATCGATGTGTAAGATCACTGTCGACGAAACTCGTATTGCTCGGGAGTCCTATTGTTACATTTGCACAACACCCCACCGAATCGACATGGATGGACACCATAACGTTGGATAATGCAGGGAGAAGAGACACTGGGCGGTGGTTTGAGGGCTCAGTCCTGCTTCCGCCTTTGTGAGTCGGAGTAATTAATCAAAGATTTCACACCTCATGATTATGCTTCTGGTCTAAGCAGCGCTAAAAGAACTGGGCCAACGGTTTTGCCAGATGCCTTGCTACTCTTCCCAGTACCACTGGGCGAATGGCGTCGACTCCCGAGGAGCTGTGGTTGCGTAAAGACGTAAGCTTATGCACTGAAGATTCGGCAGTAAAAGGGATATGGATGAGTCCTGCAGGCGGGAAAAGAAAAGTTGTAAGACGATCTAATGAGAAAACTTTCTGAAATGTGGCAGCATATTGCGTCCGCAACGCGTTTGCCGCTTCTATAGCTGTTCACTTTTGACCATCAGCTGTTTGGAGCGGAGGAATTCACTGCCTCAGCTTACAATGGCCATTGACATACTTGTACAGCAGTTGGTGCATAGCGCCGAAAGTTTTCGCCATATTCTGCTGTTATCAGACTTTGTCATTTTTGAGCATCTGAGTGTAGTGGTTACGATGGGCTACGTAGTAGTCATAGTTACCTGGCTTTGATGGGATCTGTACTCTCGTCAGGCTGCGTCATGTACAGTCATCCATTTTCAAATTCTGCTTCTCACGAAAGAAACGGCTTTTGGCCAATTGCAAACCTTTGTCTCTGAGACATCCGTAACAAGTTGATTGAATTTGCTGACGAATTCAAGCCGACCGACTTCCGGGTGACCTTCAGTGAGGAATGACCAGGTTGTGGCACTGACGAGCTGGGCTAAGCGGTCGTAGAGCGCAATGGTGCGCACCATCTCAGTGTTCTGGTGGCGATATTCCGCATAGCAGATGAAATCGAAACTGATGAGTGCATGGGCACTGTTACCCAAACGACATTCTACAATCAATACATCAAGCATATGTTCTTCGTTGATAAAAACAAGATCCAGCAAAGAAGGTCCGTTACCTGTTCTGAAGTGAGTGAGCCCAATGGTGTGAATGTAAAGTGGAACAATGGTTACAAGCTCTTGCAGATCTGCTTTGAATGGTTCTCCGACTCTAACAGTGGTTTCTAAACAGTGCACCTTGAAATCATTCATGATAAGGATGTAAGTGTGCTTTCACTTTAGACTGCATCTGAAAGCTGTCACAGGGTGGCAGTCCATTTCCGGTGCAGAGTTTGGAGGACGGTACGCCAAAGCTATTATGCATGTGTCTCTGCCATGTAATTGCAGGTCACACCAAATAGAATCGGCGAACTGTAAGTCTGGATTCTTAACGGCCACGAACTGTATGTCGGATATGTCTAACAAGTTGATACAAAGGTGAGGTCGATTCTTAATCAAGATATTGTAGATGCAACTACAGCTTAACGGCCTCAATGTGAAATACGTTGCTCCAGGTAATCCGATGTACTTTAGGGGAAAGCCGTGATCGAATTGAGGTAGCAATAGTAGTAGTAGTAATAGTAAGGAAGCCGAAACTCAGGTATCAGCTGACTGCTCTTGCTCGGCCTCTGAATGGTACTATAGATAACCTTCGATCGCATATGGTTGCTTTTCTAATCCGTTCTGGATTATAGTGAGAAATCCATGATCGAAATTGACGCACACGTGTACACCACAGAATCCGTTAATCCCGCTAAGCACCTGAAGTTGACATCTGCAAGGCGCACTTTAACCTACTGTTGCTACTCAATTCCGTTCACTGTTTTTCTAAGCCATCTGTTCAAAATACGATCTAGGCTAATCCATTAGTGGTAAATGTCTTGTCAATTTGGATTAATAAAATGATTCGTCCTTGACGATTGAGCTACACTCTCAGTGGACTGAGTACTTTAACAGTTCTACAAAAGCCAGCGAGATTAAACCACCTGTGCTGGGTTCACGGAAGGATGCACTCTAAACTGGCTTTAGGGCTAAATATTCTTGTGGTCCTCGTGTTCTGTGTGCTCGGTATGTCAAATTTGTTTTGCCTGACGACTATAGTTAATCTCTGCTTTACAGGAGCGCAGAATACGACAAGTTGCCATAGCAACAAGGACTGCTCATCGGATCTGAAATGTTCTCGTCGTTGTGAGCGTTGCTCGGGCCGCTGCACCCGGTGCATCGAGGAGAACAATTTTTGCAGGCGCAGTTCGGACTGTTGCACCGGAACAGTTTGCCACAGGAGAGGATTTTGTCAACGCTGCAGTCAAAGGCGTGAACGTTGCGAAGTCGATCGGGACTGCTGTAGTCGGCGATGCAGGCGTCACAGATGTCGTTGACTTGTGCTTCAGGTTATCATGTAATAAGTAGCAGAAATATACTGGACAACATTGCTGAGTGTGTTGAAACTCGAAACAGAACTAATGATCATACAGCAGAACTTACGAGTGCAGTGGGACCATGTCCTTAGTGCATTAGGCCCTTGCGAATAATTGGACAATATTTGTGATTTTCGGCGGGTTTTTCCTATATTGCCTCCGGAGCTGGCTACCTTCATTGCTGATGCATACGTTGACATGTTGGTACCTTTGTGGCTAATGTTTGTGCTGGTACTAACAAGGTAGTCGTACGGTGAGTTTAAATGCTTGGTCCACCCTATTCATCAGGTAAGCGGCTTAGTAAAAGCTGTGCGGAGTATTGCCCTGATCGTACTAAGTGAAGCAAGGAGCGGATGATGTTTTCAATGTGATTGATGCACGCACTCGATGTCGCTCCATAAATGTTTCCAGTAACTAATTTGCAGGAAGTACGTAACAGAATCCGTTGAGTTTTGACCTTTAACATGGCTAGTTGGCTTACGTAGTTTCCACTGCTTCAGTGTAACGCGAAGTCAGTGATTAAATCTCAAAAGCACGAAAGTCAACAGTCGAGTGTGGCTTCTATCTTGATGGATTATCTGTAGACGGAAATTTTGTGCGTGAAGTAGTTCTATTATAACGGCCAAGTGTCAGGTTTGCATTTAGCCTTTGATTATCTATTTGACTTCGTTTACCCACTCAAAGTTGTAGGAGATGCATAATGTTTCTGTATAGCACCTTGCAGGATCGATAGCCATTATCGAATTTATGGGGCTTCTCGACCGCTGAATCGATGCGGAGTATGGTTTTAATGCTTAGATCTTCCCTGCCTGGTACTGTATGTTACATTGTGATGGAGACTAGCTGGAATCTTTAAAGTACATGACGTTCAGCCAAACGGGGGATGTAACGGAGTTAATAAGTCAAACCAGTTCCAACTGGGGTTATCTTTGTCGTTTCAAAGTCATTATAAGCGCAGCTGTGTAGTAAAATACTGGTTTTACCGGTAAAATGCAAGTATGTAACAAGTCCGTGGGACGACTAGAATAAAATCCACAAAATAGAGAAACGAAACTCGATTTGGTGCACTCACCAGGATGTTGATCGGTGTACCGTTTGTCACAACCTACTGTCTCGATGTACAATGGCTATATTTCGTATTGTTTGTGTACTAGGCGTCCTGTGGCTGGCCACAGTGACAGACAAATCCGAAACCGGATGCCGCCAATCATGTGTATTAGGGCAACGACAAGGAGTTTTAAAATGCAGATAACATGGGGGCGGAAACAACAGTTTTGGGAAGGTTGTTCGTTGGTAGTAGACACGAAGAAAGTTAAAGTGTTGGCACCATTCTAGCCCGCTGCATTTCGTGGCTAACTTCAAAGGTCGCCTAAGTTGAAGTGGGCAGCGGTAGGCGTTGTTGGGGTTCCCCATAGTTTGGTCGGTCATTATTAGGTCGCCACGTAGGCTCAAAACTAACCGATCTACATACAACCTTAGGTTCGTTAGCCTAAGTTGATATGGAATGTGAAGCAGTAGTTCGACATTTCTGGTCTCGCGTCACTGGATAATTTTGAGCGATTTTAGGTCTTGCTTTTCCTAGGCTGCCAGGCCCGGACAACGTATTCAACACTAGACCATTCAATTGGGGATTAAATCGTCTGATTTCCATCTGAATTATACCGACTTGCTGTTCTTAGTTTGGACGCTTTCTCAGACTATGCTGAGCAACACAGGTTAGCCTGAATTAATACCATGAGATCACGCTCCTGGGATGACCATTCATAATCTCTGTCCAGGATTCTTTGAAGTGCATCGTGATCTCCTTGGTTAGCGACCACCAGTCACATCTAACATCATCAGCAATAAATCCGAGGCGATTAGACGCGTAAGCTTTTTATTGAATAAGCGAAACAGATGCGGCCCCAGCATTCATATTCGTTAAACTGTATATGTGATACTAATCGGCTCGGACAGTGTAACTCAAACCTTTATCTACAATTGCCGACGCTGTAGAAAATTCTTGATACACCCAAGGACAGTGTCTCGAACTCCGTAAATTAGTACCATGAGAATCAGAATGCGGTAGTCCTGGCGGTCGAACGCACTGGAGAAGTCAATGTAAATGACATTGAATGATGTCCATTTGTCAGCCACTTCCCTCCAACTAACGCGTACACTCAGCAGGTTGTCCAGCATGATCGATGCTGACGGATACCGTGCTACTCCAGGTTTGTTGCAGCTTTCTAGATGATGAACTAAAAAACAGCGATGATTGCGTTCATCAATTTTGAGAGCATAGGATGGAGGATTAATGATCGATAGTATGCAAGTTCAGAAGGGTTGCCGCTTTTAAAAAGTGTCGTAATGATTAATGTATATATTCAGGCCACCAAGCATGTTTATAAGCAATGCGATGATGGCTAGGTCAGTGTCATTGCTGCTGCGTTAATTCCCCAAATTTCAATGTCCTCAACTCGCATAATTCTGCGGGTGCTCAGTGAGACCAGTGTTCTCAGTATACTTGTGGTGCTAAGCGTAATGTGAGCAAGTCCTGAATTAGGACCATGGGTGTTCTTATGCAACACTCGCGGACGTCTCGTTGGAAATCCAGGGTGTAATGAATTCTTAGAGCCTTAGATACTTCTTCAGCGTTTTGTACCACTCTAATTGTGGGGTTAAGTGGAAAGATACCGTGCTTTACTTTGCGAACGCGGTTGACATAGTTGAATAGTTGCATTTGTTTTGGAACATTTGCAAGCCAGTTATTGCTGGTGAGCCTCATTACCCCAAAGAACAAGTGTGTTACAGTAGTTGCTCTTGGCCGTTTAGTCGTTGCAGATTTCAGAACCAGGATCGGCTCGGCAAGCATGCCATGCCACATTCCCTGCTGACATGCATTTCGAGGTTCGTTTCATATGATGTCGATGGCTACTTCAGCATTATCAGTAGACATTAGCTGTATGTCAGAAACACACTGCAACCATTGTGCCGCAATACATAAAGCTAAGGAATACGAAAAGCAAGGTACTGAAAATTATAGAATGCAATAAACAGTCAACACACCACTTGGTAAAATATCACGCTTCAAGAGAGCGATGGTGGTTGGAAAGGGAAGATAAGCTGCATGGGGGACAAAGAAATTCACAACACAAACGCCACTGAGCTCGGCTCCTTGCATTGTCAACTGGTGTATCCAACCATAGGTGTACACCGTCCATCAGACAACAGCCAAGCCGTGGGGACACACAAACCAACGTCAGCTTCGAAGTGAGGGAATTAATTCCTATTCACCTAGTCATCGCTTGGTCACCCCTCCACTTTTCCATCCACACCCGCGGTGCGCACATAACGCACGACGCAGGAATCGGTGGGCTGACATGCACAACACGTGGCCCAGCCATCGGAGGCTGGTGAGTGATATGACGGTGCTGAGCAGTTCACTATACCATTTCCGAGTCAAGTTAGTTAATAGAGGATACAAATTGGTTCGTAAGCATTTTCAACTTGGTTCCTGAGCATTTTCAAGTTGGTGCGTTTCAAAGTTTGGCTAAGGTGCACACACGCACCGACGAGTAGCTTCCTCATTGGTCAGACACCGTCGGCCAACAGGATGCCGTGTGTCACTATAGAGCAGGTGCTCTCAAACTTCTCGGCACATGCACCCCTTTGTAGTGTAATC